GCCTGGCCGGCTCCGGCTCTGCCGGGCGTGCGGCCGCTCCGCCCTGGCGTGACGCGGCCTCTCCTCAGGTCCTTCACGGAGCAGCTGCGCAAGATATCGCGGGACGCGGGCATGCCCATCCAGGGGCAGCCCTGCTTCTGCAAGTATGCCCAGGGCGCCGACAGCGTGGAGCCCATGTTCCGGCACCTGAAGAACACCTACACCGGCCTGCAGCTGGTGGTGGTCATCCTGCCCGGCAAGACCCCAGTGTACGGTAGGCCCCTCTGCGCCCTGCCTGGGATGGGCGTGGCAGCCCGCTGTCCCGGGGTGCTGGCGCCGGCTCGGCCAGTGGGGCGTCTCCCCCCCGCCCAGCGCTGGGCCCCACCCGCGTCCTCTGGGCACTGGTCAGCTGTGCAGCCCTGTAGCTCGGGGGCACTGTGGCGTCTGATGCCCAGGCCCTGCGCACGTGGCCCTGGTGCAGCCCGGCGGAAGCCCCTGGGTGTGGGGCCGGGGACACCCGCCCGCTCCTCCCTGCTGGGGGCCTGTCTCCACAGCGCTCCCGGCCGCTTGCTCGTGGAAGAGTCCGGGCTGGAGGGCGCGGCCTAGCGGCCCCCCGGTGCCAGTCTGCCCAGGCCGGCGCCTCCTTTAGATACTTGGGCACTCGCGCGTGGCCCTGGGCACTGGTAGAGGTGCTGGCCCCGCCCTGCCCCAGGGACTGAGGTGGGAACCCCTTCCCTGGGGCCAGCTCCCCTTCACAGGTGTGGCTGCTGCCCTGGGCCGGTCGGAGCCGCGTGTGGGGGAGAGCCACGGGGGCTGCGGGCGGGCTGACGGCGGCGCCGCTGAGGCCTCTGTGCCCGCAGCCGAGGTCAAGCGCGTGGGCGACACCGTGCTGGGGATGGCCACGCAGTGCGTGCAGATGAAGAACGTGCAGCGGACGACGCCCCAGACCCTGTCCAACCTCTGCCTGAAGATCAACGTCAAGCTGGGCGGCGTCAACAACATCCTGCTGCCCCAGGGCAGGTGAGGCCGCTGCAGGCACACCGCGGCG